ACTGGTTGTCCTATGAATATAATCTACGTTTCAGAAAGTGGACGTAGCCAACGAGCTCAATCCATCCTTACCTTCTGAGAAATTGTCAAGGTATCTCTTGTTTACGTACTTATAAAGGTTCATGTAAAGTCCATCGACTCTATAGGTACTGCCTTACACAATCGATAGATGCCAAGATGAACGGTACAATTTTTGTAAATGCTGCGTCCACATGCAAAAGATTTCCAATGGTGCAGAATGCCCTTGAAGGTCATTTCAATCGAAAGCCTCAAAATTCTGAGTGTACAGCGTCGACCAGTCCAAGTCGCTCACCTTTTGAAGGAAGAGCTAGTGTAGACCTGGTCTATCAGGAAAAGACTGACTTAATAGTCCCCACCAAAGCTCATAATGAAATACTATCATGTACAGAAGATGTGGAGGGCACCAAAAAATCAAAAGATGATAGTTCATGTTATGACGTGAGTCCATCATCGAGCTCCTCGTCTGACCCGTATACAGATGACTTGTTGTCATGCTCACCTAACTATACAAAAGTCGCTGCTGCTAGCAAATTGAGTACAGCAACTTCGCAATGTGGTGAGTTGACGCAAGAGGAATCAAGCATTCTTGTGAGTAGCGTAAGTTGCTTCCCTCAGTTCATATGCACTGGAATGACATATTTTTTAGAATGGTCTTGTGTTTCCTGAAATTACCAATGATGTGAAACATTATTTGGATTATATTCGAACTGCAACTGCTGTTTACTGTTTGAAACTTGGAGTTCAACCTAAGGTGAGCAATAACTTATAACTTGATTTTCTTGTGCAAATCATGTATCCCATTCATGTTTTGTTTTGCTTTCATAAGCACCTGCTGCCTATGAACAATGAAAGTTATCATTCATGTTAGATCTTCACATTCGCGTTAGCGCTTATGTCTTTGACGAACTAATTGACTGAAACTTTGATGTTCTGTATATGAGACGAGATTCTATTACTATATCATATTCATATCATGAGCAGCGATAGTATTAGTTTATGGTCAACTGGTCATTTAGAGGAAGTGTGTAAAGAGTAACTCCAAATTGTAAATTTTCTTTGCGACATATATTTGGCCATTCATAGTGCTCTTTTAAATATCCATTCTAGTTGGAGGATATTCTTGGTGATGTGAAAGAAAAGTTTTCTCCCGAATGGATCGACTATGTTTTGAAATACATTCCGGAGGTGACTCTACTGCCATACGATGGACAAGTAAGATCCACGTTTGAACATCATTTAAATTTTTTTAACTGAAGAAGGAAGGTGTTTTAGTTTGTTAGTACACCTCAATTTTTCCTCATAGGGTTTCAGAGTACGTGTCTCAAAATTTGTTTCTGTGAGATTTTTTCCTAGCTGCATCTTGTCTATCGATAGTTGTTCTGTGGATAAATTGCAGCCCGCGAGTCAATTCTCTATAGCTACGATTCAACTTTTTTTGAATGCCGAGCTTTAGACAAAGAGACTTAATACTCAAGAGTTTTACAAAATCCAAATGTGATCGACAATTCTCTTTTCTTTTCCATGCTTGCAATGGATGTACCCTTAGAGTGCGTAAGTGTTCAATCATGCAAACAAAAGAATGAGTTTTTTAATTTGTTATCCATTCACTTTTTTTGCATCCTTTT